GTTTTCACACGTTCCAAATATAACAGACTTGACAGAGAGATTCTTTCTCACTGTCCTCGCTACAACTACTTCAAAAAAAAAAAAAAAAAAAAAAAAAAAAAACAGAGCAATTTGAGAAATTGACTAAAGATTTTCATTTTCGTCCATCTGCTGGTTCATTGTGGAGTAATTTGAAAATATTGAAGAAGTGAATATCGGAAGCTTACGATACGATCAGGTGAACAAGTGAACAGCAGAATACAATTGATACATTGTTAATTCAATGGTTTTTGAAATGTTCGAATATTCCAGCTGATAAGGCTGGTGGGTAAAGTGTTAACGACACACTGACAATTATCCGTAGTAAGTGATAGGCTGTATTAACCTGCTGTAAGCGGAATCGACGCTCATTTTGTTGTTGTCCTGTCGTTTGTAGCTGTCGGGCGAAGAGAGTTCCTCGTCGCTGACCTGGCCGTTGCGTTGTCCGCCGTGAACAGGACTGGACAAGGAATCGGCTTTTAGGAAGGACTTCAACGAGGGGAAAGGACCGTTCTCGTTCTCGAACGAGGTCATCAGCTCGTCGAACACCGAGTTCGAACGTTTGATGTCCACGTCCGAGGATATTATCGAGCTTAGGCTCAAGTTGCTGCTCGAGAGATTCGCGTAATTGTTGTTCAGACTGTTGTTCGACGACCTGATGCGAGCGTCGTTGGTTTTCTGGTGCGCGAATCTTTTCTCGTTGGTGGTTCGGTCGGGTGTAGTTTTGGGGGCGGAGGATGCGCGAACCGAGATGGAACGACTAACAGCAGGCCGGACGACCTTTGGCGAGACTTTGTCGAGAATCCTGCGGGCTCTCTCCGTGCTGGCAACGAAGCTTCTGCTACCGCGGCTCGCGTCCTCGATCACTTCCCCGCCCAAGGCTTTCGATTTATCGATGATCACCCGTCTACCCAACTCTCTCGCCGCAGACTTTTTCTCTCTGTTCGAGTTCGCCTTGCAGGCCGGGTCTGCAGGCAGCTCGCCGTTCTCTTTCACATCTTTGAGGAAAAGCTCGCGAGACAACGAATTCGTCTCGGTGGAGTCGCTCGAGAAGTCCGACGTGAGGTCGTCGAATTCCGTGGGTGGGGCGATCAAGGACGATCGTTTGTCAGGATTGGGGAGCGGCGTCGACTGGCAGGGATATTTGACGAATGCCGAGGAATGAGAGAGAGGGAAAGAGGAGGAATCGCGGCTTTGCTCAACGATCGACCCCGCCGGATCGTCCGTCGCGGATTGCTCGCTCGTGTCCGACAGCAGGTCGTTCATCTGTTGTTCCGCTAGCAGGAAAGGATCGTAATCCTTGCCGCTGAAAATCAACGATCAACGCACACGTTGCTCTTAATCACACGTGGAGAAAATCGCATCGATATACAGCTGAAGAGGAATCTTCGTCTTATGTACTAAGAACATCGATATGCAGTGCAGACAAGATCTTATCTTAGATTAGAAAGAATATTAATAAAAGTAACAACAAATTTTAAATGGTTGCAGATTGTCGAATGTAGTAAAC